CCAACCATATTAATACTATGCTCGACATTTTAATTTTTCCGGGAAACATATATATTTATAAAATTAAAAAAAAAATTAGGTAATAAAAAAGAGCATGCTCCTTGTATCGTCAATGTTCGGACTTCAGACCAAACTCTTGTAACTTCTTTATTAGTTTTTCACGGGCGTTTGGTCGAAGAGAAATTTTTTGAATATACTAGGAAAATAGTTGGAAAGTGAGTTTGGTAGAAAAATGTAAAAAAAGTTGTTTGGTTGACCAAAATATTACCAGGGAAATTTCTTTAAATTTGCAAAATCTATGTTCGGAAGAAACTTCGCACTTGTTTTTTCACTTCTCCAGTTATCTCAAAATACCACATCTCAAGTGGTATTCTGTAACAGTGAATTTCATCCAAAAATCAACACAAAAGTCATTTCCCCATCTATTTTATTTGCCTAGTATTTTTTTTCAAAAAACTAAATCAAACGTGATATTTTCCAATATCCATTTACACTTTCCCATCTATCCCAAAATAAAACTTCTACCAAAGACTACCTTACGCGTTTACGTTACATTATTGTGTCTTCTTTTTAGGCATTGCACACATTTCACTGTATAATACATGATTTAATGTATCTTATTTTATAGAGATGAATTATCTCCTATAGATATAAAAGTATTTAAGATTTATATTTTTTTTTCTGCATAGCTCCGTATAAATCTCACATTTTATGTATATGTAAAAAATAAAATTATTTTCTATAAAAAAAAATATTAAACCCAACATTTATATATATAACATTTAAAAAAAAGAAAGGAAAAGAATTTGGGGTAATAAAAAAGAGTGTGGTCAGCTTCATACGAAGGAGGGTCCTTTGCGTTGCTACTTACTGTTAGAATTTAATTTCATGATCAGAATTTCAAGAGGTTGTAAAATTCGGAGTGAAAGTTATTATTAATTAAACCATTTAGCTAATATTTATTATATGAAATACGAGAAAAGAAAAAAGTGTGCATTAACTTAACATTTGAGTACAAGTGCAGCTGATGGAGAAAGTTATTATTAATTTAATTTCATGATCACATGCTCAATTGTGAGGACCATGTGCAGAAGCTATTGCTTGAAGGCTGTGTTTTATTGATCGCAAAGGCATCAGAAGCAGAGGATTATTTAAGTGCAAATCTCACGATATTACACAGCTTATTGTGCTAAACTGGACTAGGGATAGCGGTGGTAAATGGTAATAGAGTTAAATTATCTGGTAATTTACCCTTTTACGTTAAGATTAAATTCAACTCATCTATATAAATATGAAAATGATTGCGAAATTTCTTCTTCATTTCTTCGGTCCTGTTTTATGTCTTCCCCGCGTTACGTACATCGAATTATTGTCCTTTTGTAACTTTCTCTGCAATATCATTATTGTGACACGAATGTTGAGGGAAATGGCGGGCTCCTCATGTGTCCACTTTACTTTTTGTCAAGGATCCTTAACCTTTTTTATGCTCAGAGACATTTATATTTTGGAAAATTATGTATGATTTTAAAAGATACGAAATTGTGTTATTTTAAGTGAAAGAAAGAGATAAATTATGCGAGAGAGTGAAAGAAATTTTTTTAAAATATGTGGTTTCATCTCTTTGTGAGGTTGAAAGAATATAAGATATGTCATTTAAAATGACACATTTTTTCCTTTATATTTATGACACTAACAAAAGAAAGAATATACAAGAAAAGTGTGATGTTGATTGTATTTGAATCATTTTGTTAAACAGGGCATTTTAAATAATTTATTGGTTAAACAGATTTTTCGAATCATTTTGTTTTATATTATGCTGTTTGGATATATATTGAATTTATGAAATTTTTGAAATACTAGTGCTGTTGATTGTATATTCTGTTTGGATAAATTTTTGTTATCTTATTTTTTTTAAACAGCTTAACAAGCTAAGTCAAGCTTTCATTTTTTTTGTAAATAAGTCAGGCCAGAAACCGATAATTATATTCATAATAGATAACAGGCTTGACCAGACTGACACATTTAAATACAAACATAACCTTTTAAGACCAAAGCTCGATTCAGCTCGGCCCGTTAACACCTTTAAATACAATTAATAGTGTAGCCTTTGATGCATACAGGGAATGTTACAATACGATCATATTAAATAATACATGAGACAATTCATTCCTAACCTGGACTATATTACATATACATGAGAAGATTTATTTTCAAGGACCAAGGAGCTCTGTGGTATTACAGTTAAACTATATGGAGATTTGGAGTTATGTTAAGATTATATTTTGTTTCCAGGTTTTTTATGTGGTATGATTTGTTTTTAATGCATTAATATTATAATTATCAATAGGATTGTATAACTGCTTCTTTATTTTTATAGTCTCTTAGTCTTCCCGACGTTAAGTATACTACATTACTATGTCCCTTGTGACTTTATGTAATATTTGACAACGGCATGAGTCCCACTCCCTAGTTCACGTCTTGTTCTTAAATTTTTTAATTACCACTTCATTAGTTTGTTTATTTACTTACCATGTTTTAACCTATTCGAGTTTTTGGGTCCAAAACTCTCCAACCATATTAATACTATGCTCAACATTTTATTTTTTCCGGGAAACATATATATTTATAAAATTAAAAAAAAAAAGAAAAGAAAAGAATTTTAGGTAATAAAAAAAGAATATGCTCCTTGTATCATTATATGTTCAGACTTCAGATCAAACTCCTGTCACTTCTTTATTAGTCTTTTACGCGTTTACATTACATTATTGTGTCTTTTGTGTCTTTATTAGTCTTTTACGCGTTCCACGACGCGACTTTTAGGCATTGCACAGATTCTACTTGCACCGACATTATATGGAATTCGAGATACGACACGATACGACGACACGTGAATATACGTTTTGATATTATATAATATTTTTAATTTATGTAGTGTATATTATATTTAATATTTAATAATTTAACAAAAAAATAAAGCTAAACTTATAATACCCATTAATTTTGTAAAGAAACATAAGATATCCTAAATGTTTATATTAAACTCAATAAAATAGTAATTGTAATCTAACTAATCTAATAGTTAGAACTCAAAATGTAACGCAACTTTTGAATTTTTTTTAGTCTTTGCAACGAGTACTGAAGTGTCGGAGTGTCGGACACGAAGTGTCAGTACTTCGTAGTTGTATACTACATGATTTAATATATGTCATTTTATAGAAGATAAAATTATTTTGTTTATAATATCCAAAAAAAAAATTATTTTGTTTATTTATTTATTTTATTATCCACTAGGGCTAGCTTAGTGGTGTGAGTGTGTGTAATAAGGAGTGTGTGTAGCTGTGTTCGATTCCATGTAAACTTCAAAAAAAATTATTTTTTTATATTTAAAAGTATTTGAGATTTATATTTTTCTTTTCTATATAGCTCCATATAGATCTCACATTTTATGTGTACGTAAAAAATAAAATTATTTTCTATATAAAAAAATTATTAAACACAACATTTAAAAAAAGAAAGGAAAAGAAGTTTGGGGTAATAAAAAAGAGTGTGGTCAGCTTCATACGATGGAGGGTCCTTTACGTTGCTACTTATTGTTAGAATTTAATATCATGATCAGAATTTCAAGCCAAGTGGTTGTAAAATTCGAAGTGAAAGTTTTTATTAATTAAACCATTTAGCTAATATTTATATGAAATACGAGAAAAGAAAAAAGTGTGCAGTAACTTAACATTTGAGTACAAGTGCAGCTGATGGAGAAAGTTATTATTAGTTTAATTTCATGATCACATGCTCAATTGTGAGGACCATGTGCAAAAGATATTGCTTGAAGGCTGTGTTTTATTAATCGCTAACGACGCTAAGGCATTAGAAGAAGAGGAATATTTAAGTGCAAATCTCACGATATTACACAGCTTATTGTGCTAATTTTTCAAAAAAAGTAATTTTTATCTTCTCTTTAATTTAGAAGTGTGTTTTACAAAAGTTAAAATTATTTATATTTTTATAAAAAGATTTAGTTTTTGAAAAAAATATTTGACTTTTACTTTTTTTAGAAGTTAAATTTTTTAGCTTCTGAAAAAAATAGATTTTTAATTTTTTTTGTAACTTCTGCTTTTTTTAAAAGCAATATCCAAATGCACTGAGGGCTCGTTTGAATGAGTTTTTTTTTTCAAAAGTTGCTTTTTTTTCCTTCAAAAACTGTTTTTTTTTCTTCAAAAGCTGTTTTTTTCCTTCAAAAGTTGTTTTTTTAAGGAAAAAACACTTTTCGTTTTTAGTTTGTTTGGATGCGTGTTTTTAAAAAAAAGAGAAGTCATAAAAAAAGTCAAAAACTTACTTTTTTCAAAAGCTAAAAATTTTAATTTCTAAAAAAAGCAGAAGTCAAAAGTCAATTTTTTTTCAAAAACTAAATTTTTTTATAAAAATATAAATAAATTTAACTTTTGTAAAAACTACTTTTAAACTAAGGAAGTGATAAAAGTTATTTTTCCTAAAAGTTGAAACAAATGACCTCTAACAATGAAAAGTCCTTTTTTTCAAAAAAGAAAGAAAGTAACTTTTAAATAAAAAAAACCAATCCAAACGAGCTCATATCGACGGTGATAGAGTTAAATTATCTGGTAATTTACCCTTTTACATTAAGATTAAATTCAACTCATCTCATATATATAAATATGAAAATGATTGCGAAATTTCTTCTTCATTTCATCGGTCCTTTTTTAAGTCTTCCCCGCGTTACGTACATCGAATTATTGTCCTTTTGTAACTTTCTCTGCAATATCATTATTATGACATGAATGCTGATGGAAATGGCGGGCTCCTCCATGTGTCCACTTTACTTTTTGACAAGGATGCTTAACCTTTTTTTTATGTTTAGAGACATTTATATTTATGACACTAACAAAAGAAAAAGAATATACAAGAAAAGTGTGGTCAGCTCGTGACCAAGGAGGATAATCCGCGTTATAGTATTATTAGACTTCTTCACTTTTCTTCGACATTCCTTCTATACTCAATACTCTCACCCTTTCTTCCATCTCATGGCATCCTCCTCTTCCTTCCTCTATGATGTGTTCCTCAGCTTCAGAGGCACTGATACTCGCTACGGTTTCACCGGAAATCTCAACAAAGCTCTTCGTGATAAGGGAATTTCCACCTTCATTGATGACAAGGAGCTTCAGAAAGGAGGAGAAATCACGACATCACTTCTCGAGGCTATTCAACAGTCCAGAATTGCCATCATTGTGCTCTCTGCTAACTATGCATCTTCTTCATTTTGCTTAGAAGAACTCTCCAACATCATTCACCATATTAATAATATAGAGAGTCGGAAGGTTTTTCCAATATTTTATAAGGTGGATCCTTCTCATGTGCGTAAACAGACAGAGACTTTTGGAAAAGCATTGGTTGATCATGAAGAGAAGTTCAAGGCTAATAAGGATAAGTTAGAGGATAACATGAAGAGGTTGCAGAAATGGAGGACGGCTCTGGAGCAAGTAGCTAACTTATCTGGCTTTCATTTCAAAGATGGGTACTCCACCTCGCCAATCTTTTGCCTCTTTATTAATTTTCATTTCTCTAATGATTTGATCTTAACATTTAAAGAGAAAAGAAATATACTTGTTAACCTAGCTTGAACATGTTAAACAATTGTATATCAAATACTCTGCATTATAAGTGCCAAGACACGGATATGCAGCATTTATTTTGACTTCACACAAACTTCTCTTTCTGAACAGGGATGAATATGAACACAAGTTTATTGAGAACATTGTCAAAGAGGTCTCCAAGAATATTAAGCGTGTTCCTTTACCTTTTGCCAATCACCCAATTGGACTGGAGTCTCGAGTAGAAGAAGTAGTAAAGTTGCTTATGGATGCCGGATCTAATGATGGGGTCGACATGGTAGGGATCCATGGAATTGGTGGAGTAGGAAAGACGACACTTGTTCTAGCAGTTTATAATTTTGTTGCTGAAAATTTTGAGGGTTTATGTTTTCTTCACAATGTGAGAGAAAATTCAAACACACATGGTGGGTTACGACATCTCCAAGAAATCCTTCTTGGAGAAATGTTTGGAGGGGGGGAAATTAAGTTAGCAAGTGTTTTACAAGGAAGTTCAGAAATACAGCGTAGACTCCGAGTAAAGAAGGTTCTCTTGATTTTAGATGATGTTGATAAGCCGGAGCAGTTACAGGCTCTCGCCGGAAGTCCTGATTGGTTTGGTCCCGGGAGCAGAGTCATCATCACAACTCGTGACAAACAGTTGTTAGCATGTCATGAGGTTAAAAAAACATATGAGGTGAATGGGTTGAATGGAAAAGATGCTCTTAAACTGCTCAGTTGGAAAGCTTTTAAAACCCACGAAGTTGATCAAAGGTTTAACAACATTTTAAACCGTGCATTAACTTTTGCTGCTGGCCTTCCATTGGCTTTGGAAGTTATAGGTTCCAGCTTGTTTGGAAAAAGTGTAGATGAATGGAAATCTGCATTAGACCGGTATGAAAGAATCCCTATAAAAGAGATCCAAAAGAAACTTGAAGTAAGCTTTGATGCTTTGGAGGAAGAAGAGAAGAGTGTTTTTCTTGACATTGCTTGTTGCTTCAAAGGATATCTAATGACAAAGGTCCAAGATATACTTTGTGCTCATCATGGTCACTGCATGAAATATCATATTCAAGTGTTGATTCAAAAGTCTCTCATAAAGATTGGTTATGATTGGCATAGTAAGGAGGAGGTGGTGACTCTACATGACTTGATAGAGGACATGGGTAAAGAAATTGTCCGACGGGAATCACCGAATAATCCTGGGGAACGTAGTAGGTTATGGGTCGATGAAGATATAGTTGATGTCTTAGAAGAAGATAAGGTGAGTAAAATTAATATATATATATATAGGGGCAAGATATTCTTACACCGGTGTAAGAGTTAGAAGTGTTACACCCAATCTTGACCATTGATCCACTTGTATCCAACGGCTCACATTACAAAAGAATTTGACTCCTTAAATATAAATGGAATCATCGGATAAGATTAAGAGTGTAACTTAAAATGATCCTGACTCATATATATATATATATATATATATATATATATGAGGCAGGATCCTTTGACACCGGTGTCAAAGAAAACTCATCTGAGAACCGTTAGATTAAAAAAAATCAACGATTCTGATTTGTAAACATGTGACACCATTGATTTTTTTTAATCTAATGGTTCTCAGATGAGGTGTCAAACTTTTTCTTTGACACCGGTGTCAAAGGATCCTGCCTCATATATATATATATATATATATATATATATATATATATATATATATGAGTCAGGATCATTTTACACCAGTGTAAGTTACACTCTTAATCTTATCCGATGATTCCATTTATATTTAAGGAGTCAAATTCTTTTGTAATGTGAGCCGTTGGATACAAGTGGATCAATGGTCAAGATTGGGTGTAACACTTCTAACTCTTACACCCGGTGTAAGAATATCTTGCCCCTATACCAAGTAGCATTGTCAATATGCAAGAACTAGCTGTGATTTGGGGTTTCGATTGGGAATTGGGTTCATTGCGAGAAGTGGGCTCAATGGTGTCTTCTTCAAACGTAGAATGTCTCTTTCTCTTGGACTGCAACGTGTCAGATGAATTTCTTGCAATTGGTCTCACCTGGTTTGCTAAAGTTAAAAAATTATACCTACCTCGCAATAATTTGACAATTATTCCTGAATGCATCAAAGAATGTCGCCTTTTAACGACGCTTAATATGGATTATTGCAAGAGTCTTCGGGAAATTGGAGGGATTCCGCCAAAATTAAGGCGTTTCTCTGCAAGATACTGCTCATCCTTGACTTCCGAGTCTATAAGCAAGTTAACGGATCAGGTTTTGTTTTCATTTATGTATTTGATATGATGATTGATTGATAGTGTAGTTGATGTTGCTAAACTTATGAATATTATTAGTTATGAATAACAGAAACTTCATGAGGCTGCAAACACCAGGTTTCGTTTGCCTGGAACTATAGGGATTCCAGAGTTGTTTGAGCACATCAACAGCAGGGGACGGTCAATTTCATTCTGGTTTCGTAACAAGTTCCCTACCATAGCTATCTGTCTTGTTAATGTTACCTACTATCGGGTTACCGTGGTCATCAATGGCAACAACAGTGGTTTCATAGCTCCTTGGCTTCGTATGTCACCTAATCATACATATCTTTTTGGTATGCAACCAAAAGATATTCATCGGGATGGAGTGACTTTAAAAAATGAATGGAACCGTGTGAAGGTTACATGTCGATCCTTCCGAAAACGTGATAATAATGGCGAAATAGGAATCCATGTATTCAAAGAGAAAAATAGCAAGGAGGATATTCTATTCAGTAATCCTTGTCCTGAATCCAATTCAGAGGATGGTGACATTGGAGATGAAGAAACATTGTATGATTCTTACAGTGAAGACTCATTGTATGATTGTCACAGTGAAGACTCATTTTACGATTCTGACAGTGAAGACTCAGAGGATACAAGAGAAAGAGGACTTGATTCTGACGGGGAAGAATCACTCGTTCAGAGGAAGAGAAGGAAAACACATGGGTAGAACCGAAGAAGGAAGCAATAGACATGAAAATTTCTGGAACGTGATTTGTTCAACAGCAACAACATATGGAACTGGGCTTGCTGTTGTTTTCCTTTCTTCCTGCACAAGCAATGCAGTCAGCTGGATGATAATGTGAATTAGGATTCACCTTCAATGGTAAGTTTTCTTGTGCTCTGCTATATGCTTGTAACTAATTTTTATTTCCATATTTATTCATCTTCCACATAAATGGAAACAAAACAAGAGTTGTACTAAAGTAGAGTGCTCAATTGAGGTGCATCATCAATTTTATTTCCAAAAGAAAATATACAAGAAGTCAATTTTGCTTGTGTTACAGAATTCAATGCTACTAGATTGTGAATGAGTAAGAAAATACTATTATAAGTTTTGATTTATGTAGTTTGTTAGTAAATTATCTTGACTGCATAATTTGAGAACCATGTTCTACTTAGAAATAATCTTAATAGGCGGCAACATGGTTACAAGAAAGAGGAAAATAGGTATTAGTAAAGTTGGATAATAAAGACGGTAATTTGTTTTGTCAGGCATTTTCTGAAGAGTTGTGATTCAGGATTCTACAATGACAAGCTTGGGTTTGGATACACTGGTGATGGAGGTAAACAATCTTGTGTCATTTGTTTCTCCTAATGATATGATTAACTTTAAGGATAATAGTATATGGTCTAATGCACATGGAGATTCTGTTAGGAACCACAACTGATATTAAATATAAGGGACTGGAAAATGATGCTGAGTCAGCAGGTGGTCTGTTGGAAGAGAATATTCCAGAAAGGTGGCTCAATAGAATTCAGTTAAGGGCTTGGAATGTAGCGGGAAGAATGAAGGATAAATATAGACAGCATGGAAGGGTCTGATCATCGGGAATCTTTGGTTTGGGCTGGAATTGGGAGAGACTCAGAGCCTCTCTAAGTGCTCTATGTTATCTGAGTCTTTTTCCTTCAATTTCTTGTATTTTCCTTTACAATTCAGAGCTTCTCTGTAATCATTTCAATACTGTTGATGGATGGATATTGCATTTAGTTTCCATATCAGAATTTAAGTTCCCCTTTCTGTTTGTTACTTTTGTGTTGAGAATTGTGGATCACTATCAGATTCACACATGGAGATGTACTTTGAGGCCAGTGAGCAATGCTGCAATGCTGTTATACCCTCCGGAGATTATTGCTGATTCAAATTCTATAACGTCAGTTATGATGAGTTTAAACCATCTTGTGATTTCCTGTCTTTATGTTATCATTAACTTTAGTGTCAAAGTTTTTATGTGGTTTAATTTTTTTGTTCAAAACAATCATACAATTTCTATATTTTATTTTTTATTGAAATTAAAGAACTGTTTTTTTTTTCTATTTTTTTTTTTTAGTCCAATAAATTGTGTGCATAATGCTAGCAACTCAAAATACATATGATTGAGGTTTAGACACAGAAAGATAAGGTCGAGGGAAAAGGTGAAGAAAGTTTTATTAAGCAGCCAATTGCAATTTCTGCTAAACATTGTTGTTTCTATTGGGAAGTTGTCAAAGCTGCTATATGTGACCTTTGGAAAAAAAAAATCTTTTGCCATTCAAAAACGTGTTGTTTGCTTTCTTTTGACTGCAAAGTGCAGATGCAAGTTTGTTGAGTACTAAACAAGTTACTACAATGGCTTGGATGAAATATTCATTACTCAAGCTTCATGAACTCCCTCCCTCCTTTTCTTTTTACTATTCTCATAATGTAATCAAAATTCAAGGTCCATAGGCAGAAACTAAGGTACATAGATCTGACTGGTATGTTTGCTCTTTATATATGAAGACCAACATACATTGATTGTCTGCATCCTGTTTGTTGGTGAAGACATCTCTCCATTATTTTCTTTTCTTTTACTGTTCTCATCCTGTTTGTTGGTGCTCATATCCATTATTTGTTTTATCATGAAATAACCGAGATGCTTAAGAGGATTTGGAGAGACTCTTAATTTGACTTCGGGCATCCAGCTTCAAAGACTATCAAGATTCCAAATATGAGTTCCACCTATGTTAGAGTATTGTACTAAATATCATGCCAACTTAAAATATAACTTAAATGTACTCTGATTCAAGTATTTTTGGAAGGTATTCTTCATAAGTATCATTGGATGATATTCTTAATAGTTAGAGACAAAAAAATGGATTTAAATTTTGTTAGTTTTACTTGTTTCCCGTTGGTTTCACTTTGCATATAGGAAAAGGAAAATCATCTGTCATTAATCATTCACTTCGTATTATACTTCGATAGAAAACTATCATTATTGTCGATCCAGAAAACAAAATTAACATTCAACCAAAAAAAATCTGGACAAAGAATCCATTATGGTCGAAACCCACAAACCTGCATTTTGCGTTTCTTGCTCCCTCTAATCCATATGAACTTTTGTATTTCTTTGAGGGTTCTTTTGCTGGTATCGAACCGAGTTCTTACACCATATCAGAGAAGCTCTAAACCAACAAGCTACTCGGGATACTGGCTTAACTTTTGTATTTCTTTCTCTCAAGAATCCAACAAAGCAAAGCTGCATATAGGCCAAGAAAATATGGAGCTTCTAATATAGGTCAGTGATTTTTATTTTTTATTTTTATTTTCTGAGGTGCATGAAATTTGGCTTTTAGAAAGACACTGTTTGTTCCATCATTTTGTGCGATTCCTCTGCCACTGCATGTTTTTCCAAGTCCATCTTTTTCCCGGTAAGTGTTTTCATCTATTTTTGAATTTTTTTTACCTAAATCATCTTTGTCTTCGTCTTCAGCAACCAATCTAGTGGTTAACTGCCTGAGATCTCTTTCCCTTCTATTGAACATACTATTTGATGTTATTTTCAATGATTTTCTGATTCAAGTATATACCTGTTGAGTAAGTTATGCTGTCCTTTTTCCTACCAATTCCATGAACTTCTTAAAGATTCTTTGTTGTTGAATTCTATTTCTAGTGTGTAGCAAGATTTTCCACTTAACAAATAATGATACAACTAGCCTCTTAAAATTTTGGGCCTTGAGTCTAGGGCTGGAAGGAAAATAAATTCAATGAAAGATTTTGTAGCTTCATCAGGAGGTTCTTCACCTGCCAGAGAGAGGGCAGGCTTGAATCTCTCTGCAGTGAAGGCTTTAGTGTTGCGTGAAAAGGAGGACAAACTGACCTCTGAGTTATGTAACGATGAGAAAGTTGTGCATTTGATTAATTCTGTGTTTGATCCAGGACAAACTTTTCTATCTACACAACTCTTGCCATTTGACTGATTTTACATGTGACTCCATATGTCAGTTGAAGATTTAGATTCTCTGGTTAGCTGTGGACTTTGGGGTGCCAACTGATGCCATTAAATTAACTAACTAACTATTATGAATGGAGATTAATATCCGTTCAGTGCACACAAATTAGTGCATGTTTATGGAAATAAGTATGAGTAAGTAAGAGTATATCTAATTTTATGTATTTCTTTACATTTCAGAGCTTCTCTGTAATCATTTCAATACTGTTGATGTTATCCAAATGTATATTGTATTATTAAGAGAATTAGTTTTATGTATCATTTAAATACTAATGTTATGTATTGCATTTCAGTGCACACAAATGTATACTGAAGGAATGGAATTGAGGAGATGAGAATATTAAGCTCTTTTTTGTGGTGTGGGATTTTACTCTGGATGTGCTTAGATAACTGCTGAACAAGAGGATATTGAACTGCTTTAATTGTATTGGTTTCACGGTTGTTCTTAAAATAGATTAATTGTTGCAAATAATGTTTTTTTTTATGTATCATGATTCTGGAAAAAAGGAATATATTTAACCACATAAAACAATTGTACCTAGTACCTATTATTATTTGAATAACACTTTTCTTTCTATGGGTCGAATTTTCTTGTCATGTGTATGTGTTGTGCTTGTGCATATACATAAAATAGTTTACACTCCCTGAAGTCAACAGAGTTCTTATTAACAATCAGTTTTTGTTTGTCTAAATCGAACGGTATGTGCATCTAAATGAATGCCACACAATAAGGGATGGATTAAGGTCAACATTCCCGGCAAGCATTCTTTTTTAAACCCACAAATTTGCTTGTGATTTAAGTTCTTGACCACAAGATTGATGAGAAACAGATCTTGACACACTTTTTGACAATTTGGATAAATTTTATAAAACAATCAGAGTTAGATGAAAAATACAACATTGCAGTACAATATTCTAATCTCTACAATGGAATATACAACTCCTTCCCCAATCAATTCTCTATAATCTTTTGCTTATTTAAACTTCAGAGATGTGAAAACAATGACAATTTTCTATCAATAGAATGAACTTGCACCCAAAAATCAATGCTATATGTTCCTAGTGAAATGCACCACTAGGATTAGCCTAGTGGTGTTGGGTGTGTGTAGTGTGTATTAGGTTGCAAGTTCGATTCCTGTAATATTCAAAAAAAAGAAGAGAGAATTAGTGAAATAAGCGACCGTGATTTAAATTTATTAACTATGCATGTCTCAATTAATTTATTCAACAGCCAAAACAAGGTTCTGGTCATAAGTTTTTTCTTGAATATTTTGATCATACACAAGTTTTTTTGAAAGTAAAACAAACTAATTCAAATACACATTAATAATAGCTCTTAAACATACCCATATTAACCTGCTCTTTTGCAGGTTCAAAGCAAGTCTAATTCAGTTGAATGTGGAAGGCTATGTTAATTTATATGTATTTGAGAACCAATCTAATGTACAAACTAATGTTACTTTTTTGCACCTATTGCATGTATCAAGGATGTTGTATCTAAACTTTAGTTGTTTGGATCTTGAGTAAACTTTAAAAGCTCATGTATTATATGTATGAAAAGTGCTGAAATGACTCAAGCCTGAATGTGTTAAGTCCTGGAAAAATGTTGGTATGTGGTTAAATCATTGAATTGTAAAAAATTTGGGGCTCCTCCACGTTGCTACGTTTACCTTTTGACAAGGACATGTAACCCCACTCCAAAATTTATGAAAACAAAGGCCCACAGTATTATTATATTCCTTTAATCAATAAGAAGAAGGAGGGTAATCCACGTCATCATAAATTATTATACTCCTTAGTCAATAAAAGAGCTGCGTCATGATATTATTATGGGATTTATTATTGTTATGTTAGATGATTTAAGTGTTGTTTTAAACACACACAAAAATGGAGATAAAAAGTGGAATGATGAGATAGAAAAAAAAAATATGTGGACTCAACATTTTTAATATGTGTGTAGGAAAGTAATGTTATATCATGTTACATCATAAACATAAAACCCTATTATTATACTCCTTTGGTCAATAAAACTTTTCTTCTTTATCTGTTCTTGTTTCATTTTGGTGACCCAACATTTTTTCCGTATAGTCATACTCTTACCCTTAGTACCCTTTCTTCCATCTCATGGCTGACCCATCATCCTCCTCTTCTTCCTTCCTCTACGATGTATTCCTCAGCTTCAGAGGCACTGATACTCGCTTTGGTTTCAGTGGCTATCTCTACAAAGCTCTTTCTGATAAGGGAATTTTCACCTTCATTGATGATGAGGAGCTTCAGAAAGGAGGGAAAATCACAACATCACTTCTCAAGGCTATTCAACAGTCTAGGATCGCCATCGTTGTCCTCTCTACCAACTATGCATCTTCTTCATTTTGCTTAGAGGAACTCTCCAACATCACTGACTTCATTAAGAGAAAGGATCGGTTGGTTCTGCCAGTTTTTTACAAGGTGGATCCTTCTGATGTGCGACATCAGAAGGGTAGTTACGGAGAAGCATTGAATAATCATGAAGTGAAATTTAGGGCTAACAAGGAGACGTTCAACGATAACATGGAGAGATTGCAGAAATGGAGGGCAGCTCTACAACAAGTAGCTAACTTTTCTGGCTTTCATTTAGAACATGGGTACGGTACCCCTCCTCACTAATCTTTTAACTTTTTATTGATTTTCATTTCTCTGATGATTTAACGTCAGGATATAAAGAGAAAATAAATACTTGTGAGCCTAGCATGAACATGTTAAATCACTGTATGTGATGCACTTTGCATTATAAGTGCCAAGACACGGATATGAAGCATTTATTTTGACTTCACACAAACTTCTCTGTCTGAACAGGGATGAATATGAACACAAGTTTATTGAGAACATTGTCAAAGAGGTCTCCAAGAATATTAAGCGTGTTCCTTTACCTGTTGCTCAGCACCCAGTTGGACTGGAGTCTCGAGTAGAAGAAGTACTAAAGTTGCTTATGGATCCCAGATCTAGTGATGGGGTCCACATGGTAGGGATCCATGGAATTGGTGGAGTGGGAAAGACGACACTTGCTCTAGGAGTTTATAATTCGGTTGCTGAAGATTTTGAGGGTTTATGTTTTCTTCAAAATGTGAGAGAAAATTCAAACACACATGGTGGGTTACAACATCTCCAAGAGATCCTTCTTGGAAAAATGTTAGGAGAGGAGAAAGATAAGTTAGCAAGTGTCCCAGAAGGAAGTTCAGAAATACAGTGTAGGCTCCGGGAAAAGAAGGTTCTCTTGATTTTAGATGATGTTGATAAGCTGGAGCAGTTACAGGCTCTTGCTGGAAGTCCTGATTGGCTTGGTCCCGGGAGCAGAGTCATCATCACAACTCGTGACAAACAGTTGTTAGCATGTCACGAGGTTGAAAAAACATATGAGGTGGAGGAGTTGAATGGAAAAGATGCTCTTAAACTGCTACGATGGAAAGCTTTTAAAACCCACGAAGTTGATCAAAGATTTAACAACATTTTATACCGTGCATTAACTTTTGCTGCTGGCCTTCCATTGGCTCTGGAAGTTATAGGTTCCAGCTTGTTTGGAAAAAGTGTAGATGAATGGAAATCTGCATTAGACCGGTATGAAAGAATTCCCATAAAAGAGATCCAAAAGAAACTAGAAGTGAGCTTTGATGCTCTGGAGGAAGAAGAAAAGAGTGTTTTTCTTGACATTGCTTGTTGCTTCAAAGGATATCCATTGGCAAAGCTCCTAGATATATTGCATGCTCATTATGGTGACTGCATGAAATATCATATTGGAGTGTTAGTTGAAAAGTCCCTCGTAAAGATTCATGAGTATGGTCGAGTGACTCTACATGACTTGATAGAGGACATGGGTAAAGAAATTGTCCGACGGGAATCGCCGAATAATCCTGGGGAACGTAGTAGGTTATGGTTCCATGAAGATATAATTGATGTCTTACAAGAAGATATGGTGAGTAAAATTATATATATATATACATGTTTATATGGGTTAAATATTTCTACAGCCATTTTAGATAAAGTTATGTATAGCTACCCTTTTTAACTAAGTTTGACCAGTATTACATAAGAATTGCATTTTCTCTCTCCATCACGTCAGCTGACAATATCTGAGGAGAGAGTAAAAAAGAACAGCTTTACTGTCATAACTATGTCTTATTAGTCAGAACTTTATCTAAAGTAGCTGTAGAAATACTTTTTCATATATATATATATATATGGTTTCTTTTTCATGTTTAACCTTATTTATCTCTTTGAATTGTTACATGCTGGAGTCACAAATGTTTTTTATCCTTTATAATATTTAAATTTCTCTAAATATGTCAGTTTAAGTCTTACATATATACAGGTATTGTCGCTAATTTGTACTTGTTGTGATAATAGGGAACTAACAAAATTAGAATCATACATTTGAACTCCCCCTTAAGTGATAAAGAACAAGTGGAATGGAGTGGAAAGGCATTTGTGAGGATGAAAAACCTCAAGACACTTATTATTAATGCTGGTCGTTTTTCCAAAGGTCCTGAACATCTTCCAAATAGTTTAAAAATACTTGAATGGTGGAGATATCCTTCACAGTATTTACCATCTGATTTTCATCCAAAGAAACTTGTTATATGCAAGATAATGGATTGTTGCTTTAACTCGCCCGAGTTATTGAAGGCAAGTGTAACGAGTTCATTTCCCTGATCTGATCTTATGTATCAATAAGTTCATTTTAAGATTATTCATTGATTCTTATTCCTTCGCAGAAGTGTGTGAATATGAGAGTTCTGAATTTTGACCTTTGTGGAAGTTTAACACATATACCTGATGTATCTGGTCTCCCAAATTTAGAAGAATTATCACTTAGGCGTTGTGAGAATTTAACTACAATTCATGATTCGGTTGGGTTGTTGGATAAACTTAGAATATTGAATTGTTTGTGTTGTATAAAGCTTCGAGCTCTTCCTCCCATGAAGTTGACTTCTCTTGAAGATCTCAATCTTTTTGGATGCTCAAGTCTTGAGAGTTTTCCAGAAATATTAGGAAAGATGAAACATATAGAAGTTCTCGACTTGACTAATACTAACATAAAAGAATTGCCATCTTCAATTGAAAATCTCACTGGGCTTCTACAATTAGATATGTTGGGTTGTCCAATTGTTGACTTACCAAGTAGCGTTGTCAATATGCGAGAACTGGCTGTAATTATGGGTATGTATTTGAAATTGGGTTCATTGCCAGAAGTGGACTCAATGGTGTCTTCAAACTTACAACGTCTAGAACTCAACTGGTGCAATGTGTCAGATGAATTTCTTGCAATTGGTCTCACCTGGTTTGGTAATGTGAAAGAGTTAAACCTCCCTTGCAATAATTTCACAATTATTCCTGAATGCATCAAAGAATGTCGCCTTTTAACGAAGCTTAATTTGGATCATTGCAAGCATCTTCGAGAAATTAGAGGGATTCCACCAAAATTAGAGCGTTTCTCTGCACGAGACTGCTCATCCTTGACTTCCGAGTCTAAAAGCAAGTTATTGGATCAGGTTTTGTTTTCATTTATGTATTTGATATGATGATGGTTGATAGTGTAGTTGATGTTGCTAAACTTATGAATATTTATTTATGAATAACAGAAACTTCATGAGGCTGCAAACACCTTGTTTCTTTTGCCTGGAAGAACTGTAGGGATTCCAGAGTGGTTTGAGCACCGCAGCAGGGGATTGTCAATTTCATTCTGGTTTCGTAACAATTTCCCTCCCATAGCTATCTGTCTTCTTGTGGATATCTTGGTTTGTAATGCACCCGTTGTGATTATTAATGGCAACAAAGTTTTCGAAGCTCCTTTTCTTCTGTTGTTACCGAATCATACATATCTTTTTGGTTTGCATCAAGAGAATATTAATCTGGATGAAGTGACATTAAAAAATGAGTGGAACCGTGTGAAGGTTACATGTGGATCCATCCGAAAACGTGATGATAAAGGCGAAATAGGAATCCATGTATTCAAAGAGAAAAATAGCACGGAGGATATTCTATTCATTAATCCTTATCCTGAATCCAATTCAGAGGATGGTAATTCTGACAGTGAAGAATCAGTGGATACAAGAGGAAGAATACTTGTTACGTTCAGTCTGAATGATTCTGACCGTGAAGAATCACTAGTTCAGAGGAAGAGAAGGAAAACACATGGTTAGAACCAAAGAGGGAAGCAATAGACACGAAAATTTCTGAAACGCGATTCGTGCAACAGCCACAACATAAATGTGAATTAGGATTCACCTTCAATGGTAAATTTTCTTGTGCTCTGCTATATGCTTGTAACTAATTTTTATTGCCGTATTTATTCATCTTCCACATAAATGGAAACAAAACAATAGATGTACAAAACTATAGTGCTCCATTGGGGTGCGTCATCAATTTCATTTCTAAAAGAAAATATACAAGAAATCAATTTTGCTTGTGTTAGAGAATTGAATGCTGCTAGATTGTGAATGAGTAAGAAAATACTATTATAATTTTTGATTTATTTAGCTTGTTAGTAAATTATCTTGACTGCATAATTTGAGAACCATGTTCTAGTTAGAAATAATCTTAATAGGCGGCAACATGGTTTCAAGAAAGAGGAAAATAGGTATTAGTAAAGTTGGATAATAATTACGGTAATTTGTTTTGTCAGGCATTTTCTGAAGAGCTGTGATTCAGTGATTCAGGGTTTTGATACACTGGTGAGGGAGGTAAACAATCTTGATTCATTTGTTTCTTCTAATGATATTTTTAAGTTTAAGGATAATTCTACGGTCTAATCAACATGGAGATTCTGTTAGGAACCACAACTGATATTAAACATATGGGACTGGAAAATGATGCTGAGTCAGCAGGAGGTCTGTTGGAAGAGAATATTCCAGAAAGGTGGCTTGGAATGTAGCGGGAAGAATGAAGGATAAATATAGACAGCATGGAAGGGTCTGATTATCCGGAATCTTTGATTTGGGCTGGAATTGGGAGATACTAGAGTCTTTCTAAGTGCTTCTCTGTAATCATTTCAATACTGTTGATGGATGGATATTGTATTTAGTTTCCATATTAGAACTAAAGTTCCCCTTTCTGTTTTTGTTACTTTTGTGTTGTGAATTGCTGTCTGCTGATCTCTATCAGATTCACACATGGAGATGTAATTTGAGGCCAGTGAGCAATGCTGCAATGCTGTTATACCCTCCGGACATTATTGCTGATTCAAATTCTATAACGTCAGTTATGATGAGTGTAAACCATCTTGTGATTTTCTGTCTTTATGTTATCATTAACTTTAGTTTCAAAGTTTTTATGTGGTTTGATTTTTTTTGTTCAAAACAATCATACAATTACTTCATTTTCTTTTTTTATCAATAATTAAGGAACTACTTTTTTTTTTTTTTGTAGTTCAATAAATTGTGTGCTTAATGTTAGCAACTCAATATACGCATGATTGAGGTTTAGACACAGAAAGATAAGGTCGAGGGAAAAGGTGAAGAAAGTTTTATTGAGCAGCCAATTGCAATTTCTGTTAAACATTGTTGTTTCTATTGGGAAGTTGTCGAAGTTACTATACGTGACCTTTGGGAAAAAAAAATCTTTAGCCATTAAAAAACGTGTTTTTTGCTTTCTTTTGACTGCAAAGTGCAGATGCGAGTTTGTTGAGTACTAAACAAGTGACTACAATGGCTTGGATGAAATGTTCATTACTCAAGCTTCATGAACTCCCTCCTTTTCTTTTTACTATTCTCATAATGTAATCAAAATCCAAGGTCCACAGTCAGAAACCAAGGTACATAGATCTGACTGGGGTATTTGCTCTTTATATATAAGACAAGCCCAACAATCCAACATACATTGATTGTCTGCATCCTGTTTGTTGATGAAGACATCTCTCCATTATTTTTGTTTCATTAATCTTTATTTGCTGTTCATCACCTTAACTTCAATATAGCCCAGAAACTAGACATGTTATTTGGAAACTGAGGAAATATAACTGCCAAGAGAATATTAACTCTCTTTCTTTCTTCTGTGTCATGAAAATGTATCCATGAAATAACCGAGATGCTTAGAGGATTTGGAGAGACTCTTAATTTAACTTCGGGCATCCAGCTTCAAAGACTATCAAAATTCAAAATATGATTTCCACCTATGTTAGAGTATTATACTAAGATATCATGCCAACTTAAAATGTAACTTAAATGTACTCTGCATAAGTATCATTCGAAGATATTCTTCATAGTTAGAGACAAAAAATGGATTTAAATTTTGTTATTGGGAGTTATTAATCTTATGTTGCATAAGATAGGTATCTTATGTGGATGAAACAAAGTTATGTACCCACAATTTTAAGAAAAAGAAAAAGAAAAAAAGAAAAAATGGGCACAAGATTCTATGTGTGTACAACATAAGATAGTTGTCTTATGTGACATAAGACAACTATTTCCCTTTGTTATTTTACTTGTTTCCCATTAGTTTCACTTTGCTTACAGGAAAGGGAAAATCATCTGTCAATAATCATTCACTTCGTATTATACTTCGATAGAAAATTACTTTATAAACTTGCCAATTTGGTTTCAAAGATGAGATGATCAAACATATTGCTTGGCAACGGGATTTTTCGTGACTATCATAGTTGTCTTCCCACTAAATTAAAATTAATAATAAAAATGACATATCTTAATTAATACTTGAGTTGATTATGATGATTAATTGAGTTGTAATTATCTTTATTGTGTTTTGCTTTGAGACCCATTTACTAGTGTTTTGCTTATTTTTTGTATTTGTGTGCTGCATGTAAATGGGTCAGACGACCTATAAGGGCCTACATTCTACCACTTAACTTACCTTATGTCTAACCTGGTCTATTTAGAAAATAAAGTAGGCTTTAGACTTGTAAAAATGTCAATGTAAAAATTAGGCCATAGATCCACTCTAAAAAGCCTGGCCTAAAAGCCTTCATGCTAGTATTTTAATTTTTTTAATAAAGTAATATATTTATAATTTATATTATTCACTTGTTCTAGTCTTATATATAAGGATTTTTGAGATCTTTTAGAAAATCTGTTGTAGAATTTTGTTAACTTGGACTCTTGCTGGAAATATTGATTAAAGAATGAGAAATTTAATCTTTTTTGTTTGTAACTTGGTAGGCCTAGAAGGCCACGCCATGTTAAGCTTCTTTTTTTATTTTATAATAAATCATGTCACGCCTATAAACCAAGCCTTTAGTAAGTTAATAGGCCAATGTAGGTTTTAAATATTTTATATATGTTTGGGCTATTAAAGTTAAAGCATGACCTATCCTGACTCATTTACACCCGTAGCTGCAATGATCCTTCAAGGAAGTAGAGACTCTTATTGAAGTAGGTTTCAAATGTTGAGGCTAAAGGGAGAAAGTGAGGATAACATCTCAATCATTTCAAGTTTGGCCTAAACATTATAAATTTTATGGTTGTACCTCTTTGGGGATTTAATAATTGCATAAGACATATTTTAAGTTAATTTTTTTTTGTTTCCCAAGGTGTCCTCCAATCGGTAACCGAAAACTATTCCTTTTGATGCGGGAGATTTTAAGTTAAATCTTAGAATATGGATTTCCGTTTTGAAGTTTTAATATTTATATTGAATATATTTTTTGTATGAGAGTATGATAAATTTAGCTTTGCACTTCTCTCTATTATAGGCATGGCAATAACATTTCCCAAAATTGCCTTTAGTTTAGTTCTTACAATAGTTATATGCTCTTAATAAACAATTAATGTGATTTTTTACAATTTTGCTATTATAGAAATATTTTTTTAAAAATTTGAGGGCACATGTCTTGTTTACAACTTTTGCGGCGATAATTTTCATATGGCAACATCTGATTGGTTCGTACATCTTTTTTTTTATGTAGATGGGGAGGGAAAAATACCCAAAAAAAAAAAACAAGATTACATGGTCACAGACAAACTCTGGTTCCACGAGGAGCCATAGATGTCAAGATTCATTAGATGAGCTAATCTAGGAGAAGGTTGAATGAAAATCTATTGATTCTCTTGCTAGGCTAGCCCTTGCTTTGCAAACGGATTAGCACATTTTTTGGTGTCTCAGGAAGCATATTGAACACAGACTTGCCAATCTTTTTGAAACCAGCTTCAGATTCTGGTCACAAGGTGGGGCCCACGACCGATGAGCATGGAAATAATATTTTTTGCATCTCCTTCCAAGAATGTTTTCTTTATTCCCAGGGTCAATGCAATTTCTAAATCAGTCAGAGCACCCCAAAGTTCTGCATCCATAGGATTACATATTCCTATATGGCGTGAAAAACCCCTTGACCCGCAACCCCGAAAGTCCCAGATAATTCCTTCACACCCAGCTTTGCCAGAGATAGTATGAACATCCCCATCAAAGTTCACTTTAAAAAAAAGCCCAAAAGGGTGTAGGTTTGTGTGGTGTATGTAATTGCAATGATTGGTTGTTTAAAGCTTCGATATATATATATATATATATATATATATATATATATATATATATATATACAAGGTATGTTTTGATGATAACAAAGTGGCAACAACAAAAAGAGAAGTGCATTGATCAATAGCGAAAAGCATCAACCATATGTGGATATTGAAGATGTATGATGTAGCCACACAATAAGAGTGATGTCATATCAAAGTGGCAATATCATTGGATCAAGAGCAACACCAAGATTAAAGACAACTAACCATGGACAACATCTATGAGAAGCACAATATCATAACCATGGTGAAAAATGATCAAAACCAACAAAGTGTCAAACATTGTCATATCCAACAAGTTAAAGCATCAAGTTCAAGAAAAGATCCAAGACACAAGACATAAAGTTAAGTCTAAATAATTTTTGGAATATATCTTTAGGACTTAGAATATATGTGAGGGTATATGATAGATTGCATTACATGAGCTCAAAGTTTTTCTCAAAGTAAACATGTTTTTCAAATTGCATAATCAAGATGTTTTGCAAACATGTTTTTCAAATCCATAGAAAAGATCCTTGACATATTTTATAACTTCAAAACATATTTATCAAGTCAAGATCTTTCACAAAAAGTAGTTGGAAGCAAGCTAAAACACATCTGAACTTAAAATTTATTGCTTAATTTTGCTTCTGTCTTCCATATACTTTTTCGTACCTAAGATGATGGATTTGGATCTTGTGTTCTGCATAAAAGTTGTAGATTTATCTTTTATCTTTCCAACAAGACCAAGATCACATCAATCTGACAATTATAACTCAAATTATAGCCAAAATATGAAACAGTGTTATTGCTGTCAAGTCGGGAATCAATTACCACTGCGACAGATCTCAACGGCTATAAAATGGCTAATTTTTCAAATGAGATCCCAACGGCTATAAAACGGATAGTTTTTCAAATGAGATCCCAACGGCTATAAACGGCTAGTTTTCCGACGGCTAGTTTTCCAACTGCTATAAACGACTAGTTTTTGGAAACACTATATATGCATTCCCAATGACTCAAAAACATTTGAGCATTATCTTTACACACATTAAGCATACTTTGAGAGCTTCTACATTATCACTTGCATATTCTTTCATATCTTTCAAAGATCAAATATATTTGAGCTTATATCTTGAAAATTCATACACCCATAGTGCTTCAAGTTGTGTATCCATACTTTGAGAGTGTATATTCATTTCGAAATATTATCCCATTGTATTCTTGAGTTGAAAGGGTTGTGAGACCCATTGTTTGAGAGGTGGCCAAATACCTAAGTAAATTTGGAGTGAATTGTAAGGTTACCAAGTACCCGTAAACTTGGAGATTGAAAGGTATCCAAGAACCCGAAGTCTTGGAAGATTGTAAAGGTTTGTCAAGCACACGTGAAGCTTGACCATTAGTGAAAGAGTTGATCGAGCGGCTTCAGTCTGGACGTAGGTCACAAGTAGTGGTGACCGAACCAGGATATATTGTGTTTGCAATTCTCTAAACTCTAAACTCTTTATTTCTAGCACTTTAATTGCTTCTTTGATATCTTGTATGTACTAGTATAAGTTCTATAATTGTGATATATTATATATTATGGATTGTCTGAATGTATTGATTAGTTTTTCACATATCAAAGTTTACTTGAAATGATTATTTAGAAACTAGAAGGGGGCTTTTGTGAAAATCTTGTAATACTCAATTCACCCTCTCTTGAGTATGGAAGCCACATTCCTAACATATATATATATATATATATATATATATATA